CCCCCCCCCCCCCCCCCCCCCAGCTTCATATAAATATTGAGTCAGAAAGAGTCGACGCACACCAGACTACTAGTGGTTGTGTCTCCTTTCCCTCTCTCCACAAAATGACCCGTTTCCGAGAACGTACATAACCAATAAATACATTTTTTAACCCAGCCTAATTGTTCTGAGCTCCAGGATGCTGGTGTACTCGCCCCCCCCCCCCAGCCCAGGAAATCGTCGATTGTTACCACCTAAATACAGGAGAAATAACAATTCATTCGTGTGCACGTGGCTCCTGCGCTCCTGCTGCGACGTTCCGTTCCCAATAATCCCGAGAAGTCTGCCTCACCGCCTCTTGCATTGCCGCCGGCATCTCCGAGTTTTGCTGCTGCATCGCAGCGGCCAGCCATCCTATCGGCTCGGTCTCCTTCACCCCGTACTCGTCCGTCGGAACTTGAGGGTCGTAGTACCTGGGAGATGGGGTGGGAGTGGGCAGTCATGGGTGCGGTTGTGATCTTAGGTGCCACGGGTGTCGTAGTGGACACATCGTAGGAGGGAGGGAGGGAGGGAGGGAGGGAGGTAATGCAACCAATCACCTGATATTCTAGGAAAAGACCGGGAGACCAACATCGAGAGACGGAGCCAAAGTTTGGAAGCGAAGTAGAAACCCGGACCTAGTGACACGAGCATCGTGCCTTTGACACTGCAAGACAGAGGAAAAGACGCAGATGGTATGTTCTGTACGCACGACAAACCGCCAGCTTGATCGATGTCGTCTCTACTCGTTTGTACCTTCCTTTCCTCTCTATGGTGATACCGTGCATGACGTTTGACTGGCACAAGGTACTGCAGTCGTCAAACAAGGTACGAGCGCATCTTCGTTGTTGCCCGCTCGCTCTCCTGCCCCAATCAACACCCCACACGAGGTGCTGCTGCGGCGGCTGTGAAGGCACGAGTTCTTTTGGCGACTCTTCTCTCTGTCTCTGGTTTCCCCCAACTCACACCAACCCTACATGGCGGGTGCTGCATACAGCACTGTTCTCGAATCATTGATCAAACCAACGGCGGCGCCTCTGGCGCCTCACGTTCATTCTCCCCCTGCTTGTCTGTCTCTTGTCTCTCCGCCTCTCTTAGGGTATGCGCAGTGCTCACCCAAACATGAGGTGCTGTGGCTTGGAGTACTTGCTGAAGAGGCTGGCCACGATCGCCCTCCTTCGCTTCGGTGCTGGGTCCGTCTCGTCGTTATCCTTATCGGAGCCTTCGTCGGAGTCCGCGATAACCTTCACAATATTGTGGACGCACAAAAACGAATTGACGAACCAACAACACAGAGACACGCAACGCGATAAGTGCGCACAGACGGTGGCCGGGAACGTCCAGCACAGACCAAGCACGAGGCCATCTGCTGCTGTTATGTGAAAACCTAGAGGTATACGGCGGAGGCTTCGCTGACCCACAACTAGAAATGGACAGCAAAGGCGAGAGCATGATAAGAGGAGCACAATACCCCGCAACAACCTTCGGAGACTGCAATATTCTCCATCTCTCAGCTTAGAGCTGAAGCTAGCAAGCGGGCAGAGCCAGCCATGCAGCTGCACCCTCCTCCGTGATACTACTGCCACGAACGGCTGGCGGCCGTCGTCGCACACCTGCTCTTTCTCCATGGCAGCAGCGTGTCGTCGCTGCTCTTCCTCCTCCTGCTCCAGCCTTCGTTTTCTGTTCTCCTCGTCCCGAAAAGCCTTGAGCTCCTCGCCGGCAAGCGGCACCCGAACCGGCACCTTTTCACGACAAGGCAGAGGGGAATCACCAACAGATGGTTGTGGGGGGGAGATTTGGCTATCAGGAGCGCGACAAGTAAACAGCAACATATCTACGAAAATATTTCTAATTCTAATTGTCAAGCGGAACACTGAACCGGCACCCTCCCTCGCGAAATAGTGAATCGCATTTCTACCAGCAAAAACAAACATCTGCACCAGTGTAGGGAGACCCATGAAGAAAAACTGCTTCACGTGGAAAAAAACACGGCAGTCGGCAGTCTTGTCTACCCGAACTACGAGAGTCAGACACGGATGCAAACACTGTGGAGAGGTTCCGGAGCACAACATTTCCGCCACTTGGGTGACAAAAAACTCTCAAATCGAGAGGGTGCCAATGCGAAGCTCGCGGTTGTAGTTTGCCGTTTCCTTGAACAAGGGCAGCCACGTCAACGAATGATTGAGTGCTATCTAGCGTAGACCGCCATAGACCGCCTTAGAAGTGTGCTGGTTCCAACGACAACCCTCAGCTGTAGACGAGACTGTCGCCTGAACACGTCGCCCAATCACATTCTTGGACAAATGGGTCCATCGTTGACGCGCGTTTTTGACAACAAGACGGTGGCTGAGAGTCAAACCCGGCGAAAAGAAAAACAACAACAAAACTACAATTGCACCGGACGATTCGTACATAACTATCTGAATCATCGCAACGCAAAACGCTGCGGTCCAACGCGCCTCGCGCGAACAACCAATTGCGTGGCAGAGCACACACAACTTGGCCAGCAGTACGAACATACGCCATGAGCACGGCCTTCCTGCAACCCAACTACCACCCCCACCGGCATCCTCCCTCCTGCCACGTGTTGACCGCCCGTTCGCTCACCGTGACCGGCACCACCATTGATGCCTCCTCGTCCTCCTCCTCTTCCTCCTCCTCTTGCCCGTCGTCCCCCTGCCCGTTGCCGCCGCTACCGTCACCGCCCCCCCCAAACCCATCCCCGACCGCGCCGCTATACCCCACCCTCGCCCCTCTCCCGGCTGCCGCTGCCGCGTCCTTAGCGGCAGCTCTCCTCCCCGCCTCGCTCTTCCGGTACTCCATCTTGGCGATGAGCGTGCGAGCGGTGGTGTTGCCGTGGCCCCTTCCCGTCAAGAGGATGGTGTTGGCGCCGCCGGAGGCCCACCGGAGCAGGAGGGCCTTCGAGAAGCCGAAGTCCAGGGACATGTCCGTCGCCATAACCACCTGTCGTGTATTGGTGTGTTGGTGTTTTGAGCATTGGCATCGACGGCGCTAACCCGTCGACCAACCAACGACAAGTCGCAGTGCAGTTGAATGCTTCTCAAGGCCATGATTATGGACCCCGTGAGGGGGCATGTGTTTGTGTGCTAGCGTGTTCGGTAGTAGCTCATTTCAGACGGACGAGAGAGGGAGAAACTTCATGCGAAGAGGAATAATGCACCTCACGCAAAGGGGAATGCAGACACGAAACAACACCAAAAAAACATCGAGAAACACGCACGGAAAACCCAAACAAGCTCCCCACAATGTTCCGATTCCTCGGCAGCAAGGAAGACCAAGTCAAAAACACAGAGAGAGAGGGTGAGAGAGACGGAGAGAAAAAGAGACGCTTTTGGTGTTCCGTATAGCGGGGCTGTGTACTTGTCTTGTGGCACCGAAAAGAGTCGGGTCTTTTGCAACCTTGCGTGCATGGTGCACGTTTTGCATCGGCATACAAACAGTGCAGCTTTTACAGGCGGGTAGACATGAAAAGCGTCAAACGACAATTTCCCGTTCGGTACAATATGCCACAACATTTGTAAGTGCAATATTGTAGCTGTCTGCAACACCTTGGGGTCGTCCCCAAGCTCGTCGAGTTCCTCCAAGCTATGCATGATGTGCACGTTTCTAAGCTCAAAGGGGTTGCTCCGCTGTAGGTCGAACGCCCTGCCAATGTCTTCGCTCATCCACTCCAGCTGTTCATATATCAAGAGAGTCGCGAGCGATGGAAGAAGAGCGGAATACGGGACCAAAACAAGGGGATCAAACCAGACGAGTCAACAACAATGGTCCGGTAGCGAGTGCGAAGGACCACCAACAAGAAGGCACAGGAAAATCAAACACGATGCAAATGCAATACCCACACCAACACGAACAAGCAAAATACGCCCCCACCAAGAAACGGGAAAGAAACACAGGGCAGAAGCCAACAAGAGGAACCCAGTCATCGACGGACGGGACGTCGGTCAAGCGCCTAACCCTTGGAAAGGACACCAATCACTGTTGTGGAGACACCAGCAGAGCTAGTGTCACAGATACTGTAGCCACCAGCGTCACAGACAGGCCACAGCAAAAATGCCGTGGCCATAGCAGAGGTGAGATGGAACGGTTCCCTTGGAAGACAGATATTTGGCGAAGAAACGTACGGTCTCGGGCTCGCGGAAGAGAAAACGACTCCTACGGCGGGCTGTTTCGCACAACAAAAACAGTAGCGACCAATGACGTTTCGAGCAAATAATAAAAATTGCAAGGAAATTATGACCCCTCTTGCTAACTTTCTCGACTGCTGTTGCGTTCTTCCAAGGCGTTGACGAAAAACCCATCAACGGAATCCCGCTTTTTTGAAAGGAAGGACGAAGGACGGAGCTCTCGTGCACAATTCACGGCCGTTGCAAAATGAGCGCGGTGTTGTTTCACAACTTCCTGCGTCGTGTGCTCCTCGTTCTACTCTTCCTCATGATCTGAATGGTCGAGAAAAGCACATAAACGTTGCGCGAGAGATTCCCCGGTTTTGACCCTAGGAATCTGCAACGTGTCGTGCGGGCCAAAAGTGTAGGCCAAAATAATACGGAGAAAACAAAGCAAAACAGTACGACTTGCGCGTACACACGCCCGTGGCTTCCTTGTATGCTGGTTAACTCGCCTGGCTCTTGGCGAACTCGCAGGTGTTGAATGCCGTGTTGTGCAGGAGGACGAGCTTGTAACTCCCGAGGCGGTGCTTCTGCCAGTGGTCGTTCAGCAACACCAGCAGCTCCAGTACGCGCCCTTCAACAAAAGAAAAACACATCATCCATCACAAAATCGCATACACGCACACGCGCGCATGAACACATGTGCTTGCATTTTCATGCCAAGGCGGGCATGCTCTCCTTCACCGGGCCGGGCATCGTGCATTCGTAGCCAACGTTTTTACCACTAGCACGTGCAAAATCATGTAGAGGAGAGAAGGGGAGGAGGGGGGGCAGGGGTAGCCTCGAGCAAGAGAACCATGATCTCCGCATGATGCAAAACCAAGGGTACCGTGAGCAAACAACTCGCTTGCATCTGACGAAAGGGTGCCTTAGCGCTACCGAAGCGGTGGGTGCTGCGACTTCCAGAGACATTTCACGCAAATACCAGTACATGGGGTCAAAAGTGAACAACCTCAACAACACAACAACGAGTCAGCTTGGAATTGGATTCCTTGTGGAAGGACCGCGACCAGCATACATCTGTGGGTATACCTAGGCGAATACGTCTCCGCACTCCGGAACATCCTAAGTCGGGGGAGTTGATCCCAGCGACAATGCTTGAGAAACATGAAACCTCGTGTATATTGAACTGACATACGGGGTGTACCATCGCACTACAACCACTGTTTTGCCTCGCTCACTAAATACGCAGAATACCACCGCACCCCTTACTACTGCTGACGCGTGCTGCTTACCCGCTGTGTCAGTGGGCAGGAGAACGTTGCCCCCGCCCCGAACGGTGTCCATCACCGTCGAGATTAGCTCGTCCTCCCGCTTGCGTTTCGTGGTGTCTTGCCGGCCCTTGCGGTTCAGGTCCTTACGGCTCATGCCGCCGCCCGTCAGGGCGTTGTGAGCGTCGGTGATAAGCACGCTTGGGCGGGTCAAGGTGCCCAAAGCTGACGCCCGGAGATGTCTGACACACCATGATGCGGCAAGAACATCACAAACAACAAGGGAGGGGGAGGGGAGGCGACAGAAGTCAAGGCTGGATACGGAATTGTGCTGTGGTAAACCGCAACTACCGGGACACGTGTTTCCACGGTCCAGTGGCACTGGCCGCCTCATGCCCTCCCCGAAGCAGCGCCAACCCAAAAGGTGGGAGGACAACACGTACACGCGAGCGTGAAAGGCTGTATTGCGCGCAAGGGAACGTTCAGATGCTGTCAATACCACTGAAGGCCAGGGAGCGGTAGGGGTTGCAACTTCTTTCTCGGGACAAGAAATCAAACACAGTTCACACCATTTGATCGATTTTTCGTGTCATGGCTGCTGGACTTGGAACAGACCATGATACTAAATCGCTATCGGATGCATCGGCATGGCTAACGCTGTCTCATGCACAGGTATGGCTAACTCTGTCTTGTGCATAGGCATGCCAAGTTATTCGATTGATTCCTCTGGTAGCTACAGCACCGGCATCTTACAATTGTACTGAAACACTGCCCACGCAATTTTCATGGGGTTTTCGAGCGACGTCTGTAGCACATTTTGTAAGCAAGCGGTGGAAATACCTCTCGCGGTCGTGGTTGTACGCCGTGGCGTAGACAATGTCGTTGTCCTCCGTCTGCCAGGACACGCGCCACACGGCAGCCCCGATCATACGCCCCGCCGCGTATGGGGTGATGGTCACCCCCGCACCTCGACCCTGCGACAACGCCAAGCAAGCAGTGCATTGGACGGCATCAAAGCAAGCACCTCTTATTCCCGCATGTACGCTACAGAATGTGGCATGTACAGCAGTGTCACGATTGAATAAATGTCAGTTGAATCTGCTGCTTTTCTATTTTTTCGCGTTTTCAAATCTAAATGCAGACGAAACGACACCACGTTCGTGGAGATGACGACTGCCGCGATTCAGAGCTCACGCAGGCACGTTCCGTTGCTGTGACTGCACGTGACAGAGGCTTTCGCATGGGGCAACTTTGTGCCTCCCTGTCCTGCTGCTTAATGATAGTCCCCAACGCAGCTTGATGACAATAGTTCCCAACCCAAGTTTCGCTGCACTGATGGCGTGCACCGAACGTTTGGTCCTGTGTACACAGTCTTACAACATCAACGACGCGCTCGATCCGCCCCCCCATTCCGCTCACCGAGAAGGTCAAGTGCTGCGAGAACTTGAGCGTCTTGAACCGAGCGAACGCGGCATCTACGTCGTCCAGGTCAAACGCCTGAAAGTTCCCTTCGTGTGTGCGGGAGATGTAGGCGTCGTAGACGGCCATCTGCCCCATCTTCCACACCGGAAGGGTCGCGTACACCTTCGCGCGCATGCCAAGCTTGCCGAACGCGTACGGCAGGCCCTGTTGAATGCACGCGAGCGTTCGTCAGCAAGGAGAGAGCACCGGCGTCAGGAAGAAAAACGTGTGATCCTATAGCACGGTACAAGAAATGATCGTTTCATAGTTGCCGAGCTGCGTGGGCCACATTCGTCGTCGCATGAGGTTTCAAAACGGCTCCTTTTCCCTCGGCATGTCCATTCAGTTGGCGGGTATGACGCTCACGTCGGGGACAAAGCAACAAAACGAAAAGGAAAGCTTGTAACACATGTAATCACGGAGCCAATGTTATGTCCGACATCAGAGCGCAACTTCATTTCGACCACGGCGAAGGGAATGCAGCTGTAAACAGCGCTTGACGCGTGGGTGGATAACCGGTATAGGGGTACGGTGTGCAGCAGCAGCAGCGGAGGCTCCACACGTTGAGCATCAACTGACTTAAGAGCGGCGCGTTCATGAACGAAGAGCTACGACGCGACGCCCAGTCGCAGCTTCTCGCACGCTTGCTCACCCCCAAGTGTTCGAGGTCGGGGTGGGAGATGAGCACGAGATCTATCCGCTTCACCACCTCGCGGAGGGGCTCCAGCAGCGCGGTGTCGAAGTGGATGTCCCACCCGCAGTCCAGCAGGATCGTCACACCACCCACCTAATGGATGCATACATCATTTGATCGAGTCGGCGGGTTGAGTCGGGGCCAGGGTGGATGGCGACGAGGTGTTGTGTGTGTTTACGTCCTTTTTATTATGGCGACAGTCCCCCCATTTTTCGTGGTGAGACGTGTACTACACTTTTCAGCGTATGTAGAGTACTACCCTTTTCAGTGTATTGTTTCGTACAACTACAACCACCCAGGGTCGCACAGGAGGGGGTAAACACCAGGGCTTTTTTCTTCTTTCTAATTATATTCATGCCCCACCTTCCGCCCGCCCCGGTGATTGCCATCGGGGTTGGGTTTTCGTCGCTTGGCAACGACGTTGTAAAACAAGCCGCCCCCCCCGGTGTTTGCCATCGGGATTGGGTTTTCGTCGCTTGGCAAAGACGTTGTAAAACAAGCCAATTCACTTCGTGAACTCGGCAACCAGGTTACCGNGGTTCACGAGGATACCACTAGACCACCGGGACGACCCGTGTGTGCAGAACAGCAAAAAGCTTTCGGGCCGGTTCGTTGGGGCGGCGAACGGCGAGATACATGTGTGGTGAATGCCTGTGATTGTGGGAGGACACACTGGCGGGGTTGTGCGGGTGAAAACCTAATACCTTGGGACGATGGAACCAATTTAACTTCACGGTACACATTGAGCTTACATACAGCAGCAGTTTCATGAGAACTGGTCGACGTGTGCGAAGCGACACTGGTGTCAAAGATTGCTCATGTACTCGACAGCAGCAGTCTAACAGCCTAGACTGAAGCACTCCTGCTGCATCGATGCCTTTGCAACTCACCTCTAATATCGAGCTCACAGGCTCCACCCCAGTCGCCCCTTCGTCGCAGCCGTACAACGGCGTAAACACCACCTTTCCCTTCGATCGCCCGCCACCGCTCCTCCCTCCAGCTTTCTTTTCCCTGGTCCCCTCCTTGCCGCCCTTTGATGAACTCCGGTCAACAGCACCGCCGCTGGTACGAGGCGCAGACGCGGGATGCGCCGCAACATCCGCAGCAGGAGATTGTTGCTCTCCCGCCGGCACGCCCATCTCGTCCTTAATAGCCGCCATCGCAACTTCCACCACGTTCGAAGCGGGAACGGAGCGCGTTCGCGCGCACTCCTCTAGCTGGGAAAGGGCCCACTGGAGGAGCTTCAGCGGCGCCTTGCCAGGGACTGCTGCTGCTGCTGTTGCGCCAGGGTGTTTCATGATGCGCTTGGATAGATCGTGGGCCAGCCTGGCGGCGTCTAGAGGCTGTGCCATTGTACGATTCGTGTCTATCCCGCCCTCCGACGTTGGTTATTGCAGATATCGCCTCTCCACTGGACTATGTACGTACTTGATGACGGCGGCAAGAGACTATTTCGCTATTTCAAAACCCGCGTGCCTGCCGGCAAGCGACAAGCAGCGAGGGCTCTTTATTGCCCTCCAACACGGACGCGACAACACCAACGTTCTCCCGTCAAATAGTGCCAGCACCGTATCCAAGACAGCTTCGTCTCTACGTGTAAGACCGGCGGCAGCCGATTTGCGACGTTGTGGCACAGCCAGCGCGCTGTTACGCTGCTACCCTCCAGCTCGCAGAAGCAGCCCGGCAGCCCGCGCGTGTTGTCGAGAAGGGGAAGAGGTTGTCTAGCGAAGTTGGCATTTTGGTTTGGTTCGAATAAAAAGTTTGACCTGAGGACGCTGAAAACGCATCCACGCACGAGGGTCGCTACAGCACACACCAAGCAACACGCACCAGGTGTGTGCCCTAGGGAAACCAAAGCATTCTCTGTGATTCCGCCGGTTGTGAACGGCGTTAAGGGTGAAATTTAGCCTCTGACGGTGGCGGTGTTTGAACAAGGGTTACTGGAAACGTGTGACGCGAGGCACGTCATTCCAACCTCTCGGGGCTGGTTGGGCTGCCGGCTGGTCTAGTGCCCAACTGCGGTGTGGTTGGGTGAATCAGGGCGTGGCAAGGTTCTCCTGGAATAGGAGCTTGTGTTCGGAGAACGCTTAACAGGCCCGCATCACAACATCACCCCCGAGGACGCAGGCAGGTGGCCCAAGGAAGACAAGTTTGGAGGTAATTTTCAAGACTTCCCTCGGGACAAGAGAGCCAGCAGCGAGGATCTAACCGCCAGAGAATTGAGAGAGACCAACCAAACAAGCAGGACGGACACAAGATTATCCTGCCCATCGCATCATGACAACGCTAGTGGAGTCACGGGGGCAGCGAGTGCAGAAGTTCTGCATAAAAAATGTCCTACCGCTGGGCTTCTTCGTTGCCCTGGTGATCGCCCTCGCTTGGCCGGCGCCCGGGAAGGCGGTGGCGAAGCCGAAGGTTGACGACTACCGCATCGTGCAAACCATCAACGTCATTGTCATCTTCATTATCTCCGGCCTGACTCTAAAGACCGACGATATCAAGGAAGCCTTGAGCAAGGAGGGGAGATGGGGTTACATCTACGGGGTCGTAGCCATCTTGGGGATCACGGGCGCCGTGGGGTTCGTGGCTGCGGAGATTCCCTTCGACGTGGATGAGTTCTCCTACGGCTTGTCGGTGTTTTGCGTGGTGCCCACGACGCTGTCGTCTGGGGTGACCCTGGTCATGAATGTGAGTTAGAGTAGTGGCGGGTGCTACTATTTGTACATCACAGGGTATCGGAATTTTCTGTAGGGTACTCACAGAAGGTACCGGTGATATTTTCCGGGTATTTACCCTACAGAACTCTACAGACGAGTTCTGTGGCACTTCTGCTACGCTACCGGATACTTCTGCGAGATCTGTGGCACTTCCAATACCCTACAGAAAACGCGTATTAGTTCTGTGACGCTTCAGTACCCTACAGAGAAGGTCGGTAGAATTTTTTCCCTTTTTCATGAATGTGGTTGTGGTATGTTGTAATGTCCATATATCTACCGTACGTAGTAGACTACTGGACTAACGTACTCTGAAGACGAGTTAGATACTGCTGTGTAGTTCTTAGATTCCAGGTGCCACCGAATGTGCTGCATCCCCGTGTTTGCGGGAAACAATAGATCGATGAAAAAAAAAGAGCCTGGCAATGAAAGTCGTCCGGGCCGCGCCGCAGCATCACTTGCTACGAAGTGTTGAGTGGTTCAGCCTCCACGGCGTTTCCCGGTGTTTCGTTGCTTTTTTCACGTCGTGCGCCCCCCCCTTCACCTTATCGCCACAGGCTGGAGGAAACGATGCCCTGGCGCTCCTCCTCACCGTAACAACCAACTTGCTCGGAGTTGTGACCGTTCCGTTTTACGTCAAGGGTGTGGTCAACGCCGGCGACGATGCGTCCATTGACCCGGTGGGCCTTCTCGTCAAGCTGGTGAGTTCGGACAAGTGTGTCTTGTTGAAAATACCGTACTGTTGCACTGGCAACTGGACAAATAAATTTAGCGCAGCAATTGAGTACCTGTTCAAGAACCGCTTCGTCATGCCGCTCTCGTCAGTGGGATACTTTTGGGGTGCAACGAGTATCAGGACATGGTGCCTAAAAAACCTACAGCGCTTTCTTTTTTAGCGCTACCCTTTGTCGGCATACCATCCCCACCTTGGTCCCTCTTTGGCTGTGGATAGGTTGAACTGAGAGAGAAAATCAGGGCGTAGGATCCTTATCAAACTGGATTGGAACCCGAACAAAAAACAAACCCATCCACCCTTTCCGTTTGTCGTTCCTTTTCGGCGTCTCGCCTTGTGTTGTCTGAATCTCTTTGCCTATTTCCATGCTGCCGTTGCCTGTGTTTTTGTGATCAGATCATCAGTGTTCTGGTTCCGCTGGTGGTGGGAAAGGTTATTAGAGAGGCAGTACCGGGGGCGAAGGCGTGGGTGAAGCGGTTCAAGGTGCGGCTGAGCCTGACGAGCAGCGCGATGCTCATCATGGTGGTGTGGCAAACTTTGAGCAGGGCGCAAGACAATTTGACTTCGGTGGCGTTCACGCAGATCTTGTCTGTGATTGCCTCGGGCATCGGTCTGCATTTAGTGTGAGTGTTTGTGTGTGTGTGTGTGTGTGGGTTTTCGTCCTATTTACTATGGCGACAGTCCCCCCATTTTTCGTGGTGAGACGTGTACTACGCTTTTCAGCGTTTGTAGAGTACTGCACTTTTCAGTGTATTTTTTCGTACAACTACAACCATCCAGGGTCACACAGGAGGGGGGTGAACACCAGGGCTTCTTTTTATTTCTTTTCATGCCCCACCTTCCTTCTGCGGTGCGTGCTGAATTTTAATTCTTATCGCGAGGAGGGTCCAGCCGTCCCTTTCCCTCGTCAACGGTGCTTATGTCGAAGTTTGGTACTCACGAGAGCTTTCTTTTAGCTACATTTCGCTTTCAACCGCAAAGTTCGTAAATTTTTCATCCCATGGGGATTCGAACTCACGACCTCTGCCACTAGCGGATTACGAGGATACCACTAGACCACCGGGGCGACCTATGTACTACGGACACTTGTTGAAGGATTCGGTTGATCGTGAATTTAAGGGCCTAATGGGAAGCCGGCACTTTCGAGTCAGATTTCGTAGCAACCAGGGAGCGTTATTAAAGCTAAATGGGTTTTTGAGTGGAAGGCTGATGAGTGTGGATGGCTAACCAAGGTGAAATCAAGGCTGGTAGCGAGAGGCGATATGCAGCAAGCACATAACAACATATTCGCCTGATTGAGAGCGAAGTATCTGATTGAGAGCGAGAGCCAAAAAAATTGAAATTTCGGGTCCAGACGCCTCTTGCCATTTCTTGGCAAGTAGGGNTTGGGTGGACAAGTTCGATAGCGAAACGTGCTTGGTGGGAGGATGGGCGAAGATATCGACTCATACATGCAGTAAATAGTGATATTTTGTCGAGTTGGGCAACACCAATCAATGGTACACGTGCGGTGCACAATTCCCCTATTTTTTCACGAACATCAGGTTGGTTTTCCGTTCGTCGTGCTCTCTCATTTTTCTCGTTGCCCCTGCCCGCCCTCACGTCCCATTCCCAATCAGCTACCTGAGCATCAACTACCCGATCTGCAAGTACATCCTCAAGCTCAAGCGGCGAGAATTCAAGGCCGTGGTGCTCATGAGCTCGCAGAAGACGCTGCCGGTATCGGTTACCGTGATCGGCTTTCTCGGGGATGTGGGGCAAGAGGGGCTCATGACGATACCATGCATCATCGGGCACATGTCTCAGCTCTTCATGGACGCTTACATAGCCTCCAGATGGGCCAACGACGATGTCGCCGCAGTAGAGGACGAAGCAGAGGGCGCGAAGACGAATGGGGTCGTTTCTACAATTTAGTTCGGTTGTGCTCTTCTCTATACATCGGGAGGGAGGATTGAGTCGTGGGCGTCGTTTGTGGGGTCCTGTTGTGCAGTGTTTTCTCCCTTTTTTTTCCGCGCAACTCACCGTGCTTGGTGTTGTTTAGCAGCACGTCCCCCTCCCTACCCTTGAGGATTGTCGAGGTTCGGTTGAGGTGAATGACGCCCCTACTTCTCACAGGCGTGCGCCGTTTGTATGGTCGTGGTGTTGTGTTGCAGATGAATGAGCTAGAGAGATTTCTTCGGCTCATGTCAATAGCGCAATTATAATAGTCGCTTTTGATGCTTTGGTGGCTTGGATGTATGTAGAGTGCAATTTCGAAATAGTAACGACCATAGTGTCGGGCGAACCGCATGTGATACGAAACTTGGATAGGAAACAGAGTTGTCGGGAAGAACGGGACGAACGGAGTGCCTCTGTCAGTGTTGTTGGGCATCAAGCGATGTATTTAGGGAGTTGAAGCAGGTATCCCAGGTCTTGTTTCCGTGCTCAAATGCTACAGGAATTCATGATCCATTGATCAAACGTGGAGTTAAAAGAAGACAAGAAAAACTTAGCCGATGCAGAATTGGGAGATACAGAGGCTTTCACCAAATCTGGGCTTCTTGCTTGCCACTTTACCCGGAATCACTGCGAGATGGTGCACGATTCCCCACCCCACGGCCCTACGAAAACAAAGACGAAAGAATGCTTAGAAATCGAACAGAATCTTTAAGGGGAACACTCCGTGTACGCGGTGGAACGACGCTAAAAGACACCGCTTTTTCATCGTGGTGAGCACCCTGGCGGAGATCTCTTCGTCCGTTCCCAGCATTGGTTTGTTCGAAAACAACAGGAACGTGGAGGCTGCTCTGCCGGAATACCTGCTGTGTCGGGGGTCGCTTTGGCCCATCAAACAACTTTGGCGACGTTGCTTCTGCGTTCTATATCCGTTGAAAGAATATTCTGCGTTCCGTTTGGAAAAATAACGAGGAGCGGGGACAGGGCTTTCCATTTTTTCAAAGGGTTTCCTGTTTTGCAAACTCCCACGATCGGCCGGACAAGCGCCAACATTGAGGGGAATTTGAACACGAAAAGTAATGTGCAATAATACGAGAAGGTGGTACGAGGACTCGACATCGAGTCTGAACAGTCAAAATCTAGGAAGGAATATATTGTGGTCGTCGAACAACTGGTACGTGTTACACTATGGATGTAACGGTGTGGTGGATAGTTCTCTCACAGTAAACGTCGAACGGGTTTTAACTTCCTTCAATGACTCCCTCCGTTGTTCGTGCAGCGTAAGACACCCGTGGGTCCTCTGGCACTCAAGATTCTTCGACTCACATCGCTCGAATACAATCGCTTCTGTTTCGTCCGTGCCAATATGATAAAACCAAGAATTCTCTCTCCCACACAACACTATCCTCCAATGTTGAAAACCTACAAAACGCCCTCTAGACTAGTTCTCAGCCAAGAATGCAGTTTGTATCTTCAGGCGCCACGTCGCACGAAGCACGGCACGCCTGAATAATAGCCGTAACACATTTGGCCCTGTTCGCCCAGAAATAGGACGATCAATCCACTTGTCCAAATGCGTACGAAAACTGTCAAAAACTATCCTCAAACTTCCCCCCCCGAAAAATGTGACCGTGTATCAGTTGGCGGCGTCCAAGCGGTAGGGCTTGGCGGGGGAGACAGGGAATATCGGCCCGACTGCTCCCGCTTGTCGCCTACGTCCTCCTCCTCGACCACTGTTGTTGCGTCACTATTCCCGGCACGAACCGCGTTCTGCCGTCTTCCTCTTTCGCGGCAACCCTTCGGTCTCCTCCCGTTGCCGCTGTGCACGCCAATTCTGCATGTGCCGCTACCGCTAGTGGTGAGTAAGAAAGGGTTTTCGCTGTCATTGCCGTCGGCGTGGTTGTTCGGGAACGAGAACAGCGTCGGTGTTGGCGATGAGACTCCTTCCCCTCCTAGTCCTCGTTCCGCCCCTCCTCTTCCCGCCCCGCCCCCTCCCCACGTTGGGCCACTCACAATCCCCCCCTGCAAACGTCCTGCAGATGGCGACGATGGTGTGTGGTCCGTAGTAGCAATGGTAGCGGCAGCAATTGCAGGTGTTGCACCATGTCGGGATATTTTGGCTCCGACCATGCGGAGCGGTGTCTCGTTGCCGTCGGAGAATACCCGAAGAGGGTGAATCGGTTGCAGCCCTGTGACCGTCGTCGACGGCCTGTTATATGAGACAACTTGTACAAGTGGTCTGGTGCTTCCCCGTGACATAGCAAGCGGCTTCCATTCCGTCTCCATCCAATCCGTCGCCAGCATTACCGACTGGAACGACGCCAGTTGTGTTGCTGTTACCAGCGTACTGGCCGAAGTACCCGTACCAGCGCCAGCACCAGCACCAGAGGGCGACCGACAGTTATTGCTCTCGGTCTGGCTTTGATGGTTCTGGCCCTGCTGCCGCTCTTGGTGCACTCCCTGCTTTTTTTCGTAGGACACAGGGTCGGGGTCGGTCCCGACCATTTTGTCGTTCCCCTTCGTGATTCTAGGCTGAGGCGAGCCTGCGGCGATCGCCGTGGGTATCGGAATCGACAGGAGCGGCGACGTCGAGGATGAAGTCTTGCCGAGTATGGGCCGCCCTCCACCACTGCCGCTGCATTCGGAATGGGATTTTCGACCTTCGTTTGGTTGTGGGGTGAAAGCAGCTGCCGCCGTTGCTGCTACCTCAGCTGGTGCTTCTGGCGATTCGGAGAACGAAACAGAGGCGCCTTCGTTCGAAATCCGTGACGGCTTCTCATATGCGTTGATCTGCCATACGAGGATAGAACGTGTGTACGAGTGAGCGACAACAACAAACAGTATCGATACGCGCTACACGCGGGCCGGTGGACGGAGTGACGAGGTGTGTGTCCTACTTTTGCCCCCGTGAGCACGTGGTGCATCGTAGAGTATCATAAAACTCAGTCCAAAGTATTGGTTCAGCGACTCACGATAGATGTTTTACACTCGTTACGGACGAGCAGTATGAAGAAGAAGACGATACGAGCCCAAATTTCTGTCCACGTGGTGACATATCTGATTAGAAGTGCGCAGAATAGTAGCTGCAAGCATCACGCCCTCTACATTATTTCGCGCGGTGTCGATTTGATTTCGTCACCTCTTCATCAGTGAAAGGAACTGTCGACGAAGGACCCCCGTTGGGAGGTGGGTTCCCCTGGGTTGGAGATTCACCAGTCGATGACGAGCTCCCATTCCCCGAGGGGTAAATGTTTGGCGAAGAGTCCGAAAAATATGAGGAGATGGTCTGGCATCCGGGAGGTTGTTGAGGGTTGTCTTCCCGTCGCACCACCGGGCCATCCCCTGTCTCCGGCGACGGCCCGCATTCGTCTTGCGGTTGCGACATTCTTCCTCGGTCAACAGGTTTTGCGTCGGCGCCACCCTCATTGGCGAGGGGAGGCGTCATTCGTCCCGATGTCTCCATCCGCTTTGGTGACGACAAAGTGTCTAGCGGTGATGGCGATGCACCCCTCGTGGGAGACGACGCCGATGTCATCGATTCGCCCACCACGCACAACCCGGGATCACATTGTGTCGCCAACAACGGCGGTGATGGTGATCGTGAACGCGGCTGCTCCTGATGTTGGAAGAAGAGCGATTTCCATGCAAGGTTGGCTGCTGAGTCTCGTTGTCGTTGTTGTTCTTCTTCTTGATGTTGCTGCTGATGCTGCGGATATGGTTGCTGTTGGGCGAAGGTGAGGCCACGATGAAGCCGTGCGGTTGCTGAGCGGAGCAGCCCGATGCTGCTGTCATCTTGGGCGCGGTCAGTGTCTGTCGGCGGTGATAACAAGTGTTCGGCGTCGCTGAGAAGCACTCGCCATTTATATTGTCGTTGAATGTGCTCCAGCTCCAGCTGCATCTTGGTCTTTCGCTGCAGCTCGAAATGTTGGAGTTGCGTTCTCTGTTTTTGCGATGAGGCCAATGGCGCCGTCGATGACGAGGGTGGTGCTACGCCGTCGTTTAAACTTGGCAAGATACGGCAGCCTCCACCATCCGCTACCGTACCGCCGCTTCCCGGTGCAAGACGTGTAGGCCGCAGCAGCCGCTGTTCCAACAGCTGCCGATGCTGCTGATCGGCGGCGTTATGTTGCCTCGAAGACCGGCCTGTGCCACTCGTCGATGGACGCCGCGGTGCGCCTCGCCAAGGAGGAATTGTCTCGCCGGATTCAGTAGTAGCACCATCGGTAGTCCCAGATGTTGGCTGCTGTGGCTGTGACTGCTGCTGCTGCCACCGCTGCCGTTGCTGCTGCATCTGCTGGACAAGGGGAACTCGATGTGATAAAGGCGCCTGCTGAGAAATCAGCCGAGGCTCTGAGTGGTAGTACTGCAGGCGCGCCCCGCCCGTTCCCGTTGACAGCGCTACGGTCGACTCCAAGCTGTCTTCGATGCTGCCAACGCTCATTTCGGGCTTGTGTCTAGGTATTGCAGCAGCAATAGAGGGGTAGTACTTGAGCGTCTTGTGCGAAGATGCGACCGTTCGCCGCGCGTATTCCAGGGTCGGGTGTAAGGACGGGACCACCTCTTGTTGTCGTCTCTGGGGATGTTGTCGCTGAATGCCGTTCTCTTCTGCTGATGACAGTAACGAGCGAGAGGGTTGCAATTTTTGATGATTGTCCCTAGTGAATGACGTCACGTTTGACGAGCGTGGAGGAGGAGAAGAAGGTGCGAGAGAATCAGAAGGAGGTCTCGGGGTAGTGAAGGTTCCAACGGAGGAGGGATTGCCCGTGGTGGCACCGCCAGTGGTCCTTTTGGAGCCCAACAAAAACATGTTCTCCTGGCCGTGGACCGCTGCAATGTTGCCTTCTCGTCGACGAGCAGCCTCCGTCGCTCTCCCTGTGAAGCTGGTCGCCTCCTACGTTTTTCGGACGAGAATATCGATTGAGTTGATCGGAATCATTGGGTGAGTGGGGAATGTGCGGGACGGCGGGGAGCAGAACGGGGCATAGAAGAGACCTTCAACGCGAGGGTGCCGATTCCCGTAGTGCTACGTTCTTGGTGCAGGCATTCTATTACAACATTCCTCTTAATGTCGGTATTGTCGCGGCACCCCCACCCCCCCTCCCAATCTTCTCACCGGCCGGGCATGTTCAGTGGTTCCAGTCCCGCCCTTGCCCACCACTTCGGTGTCATGCGCCAAGTGTGAGCCCCATACGCCACCGCCCTCGGCACCAGTACCACGGCCATCATCACTACCACCGCCAAAAACATTACCAACACCCTTGCCCAAGCCCTTGCCCGCCGATGCAGACGACATCCAACTCGCTTCATCTCCATGTATGGTCGGATGATCGGCAACGACACCGGTATTAACGGCGGCAGCCTTCGAACAACGAAGCAGCGGCGGAGATAGGAGGAGAAGGGTCGGGTTCAACGAGGTATACCAGGTGTTAAGGCAGTAATACCGCTGAGGATTGTTTTTGTTCTTTCTCTCTCTTCTTCGGGGTAACAAAACTGATACCCGACAAAGCTTGGTCTTCTCCTGGTGTTGGCGTGCCAACATGTTTTTAGGCTTGAGGTGCTCGAACCGATGTGGCCGGCCGCACGATGGGATGTGATGAAAGCAGTCGGCGTGCACTTGGCAAACGACGCGTGTCCAGAGTTGAAGAAGCAAACCAGCGAGCGACGCCCACGTCACTGTAACGCAGGAGGAATACGGACCCGGGTACACACTATCGCAAAAAACAGCGAAACGGAACAAAATACCCTCCACATGTAAACAAAGGTCACCTCATCGATCTTGGCGGCCGCCTCACTGTCCCTTCGAGCTTGTTCCTCTTCCAGAATGGCGGTGGTGGCGATTATACGTGCCCGCCATTTCTCGAGTTGTGGCGTGAGAGAGTGGAGAAAGGCTTCCTTCCTACGCTCCATTGCAGTCCACTGCAACAGGTGTCAACGCCGTTGTTGTTGGTGGTGTAGGTGTGGTTCACGTTGTGTTAGCGATGGGTGGCAAGCACACCTATCCTGCCCCGTCCCGCTCGTTTTTCTCTCAGTGTTCCCCCAAACAATTGTCGGGGACACGGGACGCAGGATGTGGTTGAATACACATCAACATCGACGCCTCCCTCACGCAATCATCAATCCACCTTTTCCCTTCCACCACGCCCCCACTCCTAGCCCCACCCCCACCGGAAATCGGCCCAACCCTCCCGCAGTCAAACCTAACACAGTCCCGATCCAACCGCATCCAACTCGATGACACCTTGCGTGGTTTTGAAGGCTCGAAATGCTCGGTGGAATGATCCATACCCTGGGCTATTGCGGGTGAAAATCCTCTGCTGAGAAGGAGTTTCTTGATGCGCTCGAGACACAGCTCGTACCGAGCGGCCAACGACGCTTCCAGTTTTCTGAGATTTGATATTTCTCGTTTGGTCTGTTGTTCGACATAGCGGGGAATACGACGACATTGGTCAGGCGGGAGGGGGTGCACAAGATGTCAACAGGCGTTGGTGCTTCGATTGGAGAGGAGCGCGGGAGGGGCACCAAAGAGTGGGACGTCCATGGAAGATGTGCGCGGCTCAGAGCGATTATGTTTGTCTTACTTACTAGGGTCGACCGCGCTATGGTCGACCTTTGAAACGACGTCGGTTGTGTGTGAGGGGGGTGCCACGACAGGTGGGATAGAAAATGAATGCCATGTATCTGGTCTACATGTGGTTTTGCTGCCCTTGTAAACAAGACGACGAGGCACTTTCGGTGGCTCCGATCAGCCCTAAACAATGGGGGGGTGAACAGTATGTGAGCAAGAAGCAAAGCCAAAAAGGTAAGCAGTTGCGCGAAAAAAAACAAGATTTTGTGGGAAGACAACCTTGAAAGTGCACCATAATTTATGCTGTTTTCGTTTCGTGCGCGGGAATCCAAAAGCCGCTGGGTTGCCTGCTTGCTGGCTTTCGCTTGCCTGCCGGTGCTTACGCCTACAACCAGTGCGGGTCG